CACCCACCCAGCCTCTTACCCAGTCTCTGTCCCCAATATGCAGTCTTTTCCTTAGCCACCGTCCCTACTACCCAGACTCAAAAGAGACTGGGACCCTATTTTCAGGATCAAGGGACCCATCTCAGAACCAGAAAGGAGTCAGATCCTTGCTTAGCTTTGCCACAGAGAGGGTTCTTTATCAAGGGGAGTGGCTCCTAGGGACATCATTCCCCAGGAAATCCCAGGCAGGGACATTGCCCTAGAGAGAAGACCCAGCTCCATCAGACATTGCAAGGCTCCAGGGCTACAAGCACCTCTTCCTCTTAACCAGAGAAAAGTCTAAAGAGCCCATTCCAAGGACTTTTAGTAATGCTGACCCATCCTCTTCTGGTGGTCATCTTATCTAACCTTGATGACCAATGAATCCTTACACTGAAATGACTGTCACAGCATGTTGTAACAGTAAGTAGGTAGATGCAGGTGCTGCCACCAAAGTCACTGTTTGGAAATGTCACAAGATGTTGCCTCCGGTGACTGCCTGAAATGTAGTACCAGTGAGTCGTCATCTATGTAAGATGGCACATGGCATATCGCAGAATTCCTAATCAATACACACTGCTGTTCAGCAGTCTGTGCTTAGGACTTTAGGTATGCTGGTTTCACAGCTCAGGAGAAGTCAGCAATGAACTGGATACTTCTTTGAGCACGTGTGGTCACAGAGGCCCAGACCTCTCACCAATGGACTCAGGCAAACACACTGTGCTTTGCAATCCATGAGCTGCACACTCACTCAGAGTGGTGACTCCTGCCTGTAACCCAAGCATCCGGGAGCCTGAGGCATAATGATTGTCACAAGTTTGAGGTCAGCTGGGCTACAGAGTGCTCCAGGCCAGTCTAGGCTACAACATGAGACCCTGTCTCGAGGGAAGGAGGAAGGGAAAAAGTTCATTCCCAGAAATGATTTTGAAGATCCAGGCATGGTGGCTATCTTAGTTACTTTTCTATTGCTGAGATAATACACCATGATCAAGGCAACTTATAAAAGAAAGCATTCCATTGGGCCTACAATTTCAGAGAGTTATAATCCATGATGATGGAGCAAAGGCAGAGTGGCAGCTGAGAGCTCATGTCTCGATCCACACGCAGGAGGCAGAGAGTGTGCCCTGGGGATGGCAGGAGATTTTTTTTTTTTTTGAAACCTTAAGCCTGCCCACAGTGACACACCTCCACCAAGGCCACACCTCCTAATCCTTCCCAAGCAGTTCCACCAACTGGGGACCAAGTATTCAAACATATGTGCCTATGGAGGCCATTCTCATTCAAACCACCACCTTGCCATCCCACTGGGAGGTAGAGGCGGGAGGATCAGAATTTCAGGGTCATCCCCAACTGTATATGTAAGTTCAAGACCAGGCTGGGCTTCATGAGGCTCTGCCTAAAAGACACAGGGGGAGAACAAGCTAACGAATGGGTTAACAGGACGGCTCAGTGGGCAAAGGCATTTACCACCCAAGCCTGGCAACCTGTGTTCAAGTCCTAGAACCCACAGGAAGGTGGAAGGAGAGATCATCTCCACAGTGGGAGGGCCACCATTCATACACATGTCATACATACATATAAACATACACAGGTAATAATGATAAAAATGTTTAAAGGGAAAATCATTTCAGAAATAGATCCGTATACATATTTATTCACAGAAAGTGCCAGTTAACGGCTTTAATATTAACCATGATTATCAGAATTCACACACACACACAAAAAGCATAAAGTGCAAATGGTCTATAAATTCTCTCAGAGCAATGATTAATGCTACCTCCACCAGGGTACATACCACCTGTACACAGCACACCCTACATAAAAGTATAAAGCATGGTATATATCTGAAAATACTCTATTTACTTGGATTACATATTGTGGTTATAAAATAGTTTTCAGTCTCACTTGACATGTAGGAAAAGACAAAAGCCCTTTGGAGTAACGGCCATGTTTTAAAGTCTGCGGGATAAAAATGTCTATAAAATCAATTGAGAATCCCAATCTGGCCGGAGGTGTGTCTTTGGCCAGTGGGATCAACAGCACCCAGGTCAAGTCCTGGTTAGGAAGAATCCAAGTTCAGCTAGAGAAAGGAATGGGGAGAGAGGCCCTGGCTGGCCAAGCTCCAGCCCTTGCCTGTACCCCAGACATAGTTAGTCATCAGACCTGAAGGAAGAAGAGCCGGAAAGGTTCAAATCCCAGTGCTGGCTCAGGGTGGGGGTGGGGAGGAAATGACTTGTGAGGGAAGTTTCAGTCACCTGAGAAACCCAACAGATAGAATGGGTGGCGGTATTTTTACAAAGCCCAGGTGTGACAACCGTTCAGGCTTTGTCCCTCAACACAACAGTGTGGACCCATAATGACTGTTACAGGCACTTTTCACCGGAGAGGCCCCCAGGGATCACATTACAAATGGATACAGGTGGAATAAACTCTGCTGAAGGGCTGGTTTTGGCATCACGGGGCACTAAAGAGAGTTGTTCTTCTCCTAAGAATCAATGATGGATCAGAACTGTAAAATCAGGGACAGAGATGATCGCTCGGTAACATTCTTGGCTTTCTATGTCCTGAGATCTCGGGCAGATTTGGAACAGAACAGAGTCTGATGCTCATGCTGGTTAGGTGGCCATGACCTCACATGTCAATGTCAACCCTGCCGGAAGGGAGGGGATCCTAGACTGCACATCAGTTAGTGAACTCAACTTGTTTTTTTTTTTTTTTTTTTTTTTTTTTTTTTGGTTTTTCAAGACAGGGTTTCTCTGTGTAGCTTTGCACCTTTCCTGGAACTCACTTGGTAGACCAGGCTGGCCTCGAACTCACAGAGATCCACCTGCCTCTGCCTCCCGAGTGCTGGGATTAAAGGCGTGCGCCACTACCCGCCCGGCCATGTTTTTCACCACTCTTGACACATTAAAATCCATGAAGTTGCATCTTTAACAGCCGTTTACTCTGACGCAGAGGTGAAGTGTTACGTCGCAAAGCTGAAGTCAGTTCATGTCTCAGGAGCCGCTCGAGTCAGGCTTCATGGAAAGGATAGTTCCAGGAGTGAGCTCAGAATCCAGCAATCAGCATTCAAGAGAAAGCCAGGTCGAGTGTACTCCACACCAGCTCTCCATGAAAACGCTGGCATTCGAATTCCATTCAAGGATAAAAGGTCCAAATGACATCTAATTATAGCTGTGGCAGGGCAGAAAGGATAGGAAGGAAACACACCCAAAAGCCAAAATACTGGCAATGAATGCTTTAAGGCAATAGAGGTATGAGCAATTTTTTTCTCCTGCTGCTTTTCTGTAGTGTCCTAATTTCCTCTAAACATGTAGAACGTTAATGTAAATACAAACAATGCCCAAAGCTCAGCTCAAAATTAGATTCATACATGTCTAGTCCCTTGCTAGCAAGCTACAGATTTCTGTTTAAGATGGGTGTGGTAGCTCACTGCTATCATCACACCTAGCACTTGAGAGACTAATCTGGGGGCTCACCATGAGGTTGAGGCCAGCCTGGGCTCTATAGTGAGTAGTGAGGCCAGCCTGAGACAGAGGAACAAAGCTCTGTCACAGACAGAAGCAAAAAAAAAGGTGTTTGCCCCCCACACATACTCCATCCCAAGCAGGTGTGGTAGCACATGCCTGGAGAAGCTGCCCACTGAGTCAGGGGTTCACTTCCTTCCACCCAATCATGTCCAAGCATATCCATCAATAATATTTTATCCCTATTCCTGGGGGTGTCAGCAGAGGCCCTAGGCAGTAAGTTCTTTTCCTGATGCAAAATGGTTCTTCCCTGACTTTGAGGACAACACCACTGCCATGGAAGAGCCCTCGGGACAAATTAAATCTTGCATCTAAAAATCCTCTCCTACCGCCAACTTTTTATCCATTTTATTACTTTATGTGTATGAATGTTTTGTCTGCCTGTATGCATGTGCACTACATGCATGCCTGGTGCCCTTAGAGATCAGAAGGGGGCATTGGATCCCCTGAGACTGGAGTTACAGGTTCTGAGCTTCATGTGTATGCTGGGAATTGAATCTGAGTCTTCTGGGAAAGCAACATGTATTCTTAACTGCTGAACCAACTCTCCAGCCCCAGTGGACTCTTCCAGACTCAGGCAGTTGGGTGCTATCCTTAGGACATTTATATAGTGTAGGAGAGATAAGAGCAGGACCACATGCCTGGGAAGATAACCAGAAACAAGGATGGCTTGATTTCGCCCTCTGAAAAAGTCTAGACTCAAAAACCAAAGGACTTAGCAGCAATCCCATGAATCTCTAGGTTGCCACGAACATTCAACTCAAAATCATCTTAAATATATTTTAAGCTATAGTAAAATAACATATACACTCAAAACCAAATATTTCTGCCTTGAAAATCCTCAATCAAATAACTTGTGTGTTTGCTGCCTGGGAGATTTAGTAAATGCTATAAATTTAATAAAAGACCACTTACTTCACAAAGCCATGTTCCATAAAGATTTGCTACTATAAACAGGAAATAGCCTAGCAAGTTACTTATCAAACTTCAAAGCCCCAGAAGTAGAATGGAGTCTATTGGTGTAAAAACTTAAGCTCAGCTTCCATTATGGACTCTGTGAAAATCTAACCAGGGTAAGAGTTCCTGAAGCGCCAGAACCGGCTAGCTCCTTCTGACTCAGGACAATGCTCCACCACTCAGAACAGCCTCGTGACTCCCACCCCCTGAGCACTGCCCCACTCCCCACAACGGAATGTCAGAAAGCGGGAGGTGCCTGAGTTACAAACATCCCTGAGATTCCCCCATCCCACCTCATACCCAGAAGGCCCCGCCCACCTGTGACCCCCAACCAGCTAATTGAGTGTAGCGACAGAAGAGCCAACAGTCCAGTGCTCTGAGAAACCAGTTAGCACCAGGTACTGTGAGATCAAAAGCAGGAGTCCTACATCCCCCCCAGGAGCCCCACATCCCCCAGGAGCCCCACATCCCCCCAGGAGCCCCACATCCCCCAGGAGCCCCACATCCCCCAGGAGTCCCACATGCCCCAGGAGTCTGCATTCCCTAGGAACAGCAGAGGAATGGGGTCCGAGTCTTGGAGGTAATGACATCCTCGAAGTTTCCAGTGAGAAACTTTCCCAAAGCTTCACGCACACTCCCCAGTCAAACCCAGACTGCCTCTGTGACTGAAATGAGCTGTTGGTGCTCTCACAAGAGGTCAAGTGGTGGCAAGCAGAGGGGCTGTGTGTGGAGTCTTCACGCCAGAGCAGTTGTCTGTGGGGTTGAGGCTCCTGAGCTTCAGGAAAAGCAGGAACAGTGTCAATATTTAATATTTGCTTAAAGTGGAGTGCAGGTTTTGGCTTAGAGGGTGTTACTGACTCTGCCCTCTGATGCCAAGTCTCCATATCTTAGAGGTAGTGGTTGAAGGATCCACGAGCTCGTGGGAAACCTGGGAAAGCTGAGAGGTGCAGGTGACAAGCCCACCCCCTCAGCCACAAGCCCCCATGTGTGTTCTGTCCACTCGGTTGTGCTGAAGGACAATGTCTCTCCTGTAACTGGAAAGCTCCGGTGCTTTCCATCACAAAATCAGAAGGTCTTGTGTCTCAGAGGGGCTGACTCCTGCGTAATCAGAGAGCCTGGAGACGGTGGGACCTACAGCAAGCAGCCTTCTCCAGCAAGAAGCTACCCCGGGTCTCCCAAAGAACTACTCTGCCACTGCCGTCAGGGACGTAACCCAGCAAGCCCATATGCCTGGATGGAATGCTGAGCAACACACACTTACTATCCCTGAGCTCTCCATCCCCCATCCTGGGAAAAGTTGGACCTCCTCCCCCAGGCACAGTGGTCCAGTTAGAGCCCAAAGGAACAGAATTTTAAACAGACACACCCACACCAATGCTTCAACCCCCTGCCCCGTGGCTATCTTTGCTAGCAAATGAAGCCCAGTGCAGGAAGAGAAACAAGTTAGAGACGCCGGCCACTGCCTTGTCATCATGTGATCTTGACCGACGACTTCTTGTGGGCACACAGGAGGGACACGTAGGGGACACCAATAAAGGCCCATTTCTCGCTGGGCCAGAATCTGATAACTGGACCTTGCTCGGGGATCTCTGAGGCAGCATCAAAGTAGGCAAAGCACACGCAGCCCAGGTATGCAGCAAGACAGATGAGGATGTGCCTGCAAGAGAGGGCAGGGGTGAGCCTGGCGCGGGCTTCTCCCGGGGCCCACCCACCTTCCCTGCTGTCCCGGGGAAAGGAGGCGACAGCCAACATTGCCAGGAGGGCTGTGATAAATCTTCAACACCTGAGACCATCCTAGAATGCAAAGCATGCCCACGTGAAACGGCACTGTAGCTCAGACCTGTAACCCTAGCGCTCTAGGAAGTCAGCTCAAGAGAACTCCACAAGTTCAAGGCTACACAGTAATAGCACGTGCCTTTAATCCCAGCACTCGGGAGCCAGCCTAGTCTACAGGACAGACAGGGCTACACAGAAAAACCCTGTCTCAAAAAAAAAAAATAAAAAATAAAAATAATTTAAAAAATCCTATTTGATAATTGGAACAATATCTTTAGGGTCTTTTCAGTAAGACTGAGGGCCAAGGACAAAATCAGAAGGGCCTGAACTCTGAATTAGATCCCACCTTCTCACCTTAACAATGAGTACAGCCTGTGCTTTTCATCAGAAATCATCCTACATTAAAGTGCGCTTGCAGTTTTATGGGAAAATTCTTTTTTAAAAAATTACCTTTGCCTGTCAAAGCTTCAATTTTGATCTTCATCAAGAAATAAATCTTTTAAAGGCAGACAGATTCTTCTTTATACCCTATATTGAAACCCAGTTCCAAATGAATTAAAGATTTAAAATACGGGAGGCAGAGCCAGGTGGATCTCTGTGAGTTTGAGGCCAGCCTGGTCTCCAAAGCGAGTTCCAGGAAAGGCTCAAAGCTACACAGAGAAACCCTGTCTCGAAAAACCAAAAAAAAAAAAAAAAAAGAAAGAAAGAAACTGGGAGAAATATTTGCCCAATGTGATAAAGAGCTAAAACTAATACCAAAAATGTGCTAATCATTATAAGTGCTGTGTGAGCTGTGCTTTAAAATGGGGTTTGGGGGGGCTGGAGAGATGGCTCAGAGGTTAAGAGCACCGACTGCTCTTCCAGAGGTCCTGAGTTCAATTCCCAACACCCACATGGTGGCTCACAACCATCTATAATGAGATCTGGCACCCTCTTCTGTATACATAATAAATAAACAAATTTAAAAAAAATAAAAAATTAAAAAAAATAAAATGGGGTTGGATGAAGAGTATGGAAGGTAGCAGAAATAAGACCCAGCACCCAACAATAACCAGAAGCTGGAGTCAGCATACATGGCAGCTCCGTGTATTGTTCATTATGCTGGGTATAGAGCTGCATGCCTTTATTCCCAGCACTTGGGAGGCAGAGGCTGCCGGATCTCTGGGAGTTTGAAGTCAGTCTGGTCTACAAGCAAGTTCCAGGCTATCCAGGGCTACACATTGAGACCCTGTCTCAAAACAATAATTATTAAGTAATGAGTAATTAATTACAATTTGCATAACAAACAGCACATAGCCATTGTAGGCAGTCATGACCAAAGATAAAAACATTAGAAGGCATATTTCAAGAGGGGAAACACAGCAAATTGGGAAGCTTACAATTAGATTACAATCTAAAGCTACCATCCAGATTACATTTTAAAAGAATCCAGTAACACTGTCTTTAAAGATATGAAAAATAAAAAACAAAGTATTTTTTCCTTAAAATTAGATTACAATCTAATACTACCATCCAGATTACATTTTAAAAGAATCTAGTAACACTGTCTTTAAAGACATGAAAATAAAAACAAAATATTGTTTTCCTATCAGGCTAGCAAAGATTTAAAAGAGTTAATAACCTCCTGAGAGACCTCAGTAAAGTGATCTCAGGACTGGGGTGTAACTGCTCAGGGCAGAAGTGGAAGAAGACTTGCCTAGCATCCACGACCCCCAGCACTGCCAACAGAAACAGAACAAAGTCTGATATGGTGGCACTAGCCTGAATGCCAGCACTTGGGACTGCATAGTGAAATTGAGGCCAACCTGGAATACACAAGACTGTCCCAAAGAGGAATAAACAGCTGGGCATGGTAGCACGCGCCTTTAATCTCAGCGCTCAGGAAGCAAAGACAGGCAATTCTCTGTGGATTTGAGTCAACCTGGTGTACACAGAGTTCCAGGCCAACTGGTAGTACACAGTGAGCCTGTGTTTTAAAGCAAAACAAAAGCCGGCCGGTGGTGGCACACACCTTTAATCCCAGCACTCGGGAAGCAAAGGCAGGTGGATCTCTGTGAATTTGAGGACAGCCAGGGCTACACAGAGAAACCCTGTCTTGAGAAACCAAAACCCAACCTCCTCCTGCTCCCGCCCCTGCCCATCCCCCCTCACCCCACCCCCACAAAAAAAACCCACCCACAAAAAAAGGATAATAAGAATAATGAGATAAAATAAGGTCTCACTCTGTAACCCAAACTGCTCACTTGCTTGTAATCCTCCTGCCTCAGCCTGCCAACTATTAAGATTATGACCCTGCACCACTACTCTCCATTTATGTAGTGCTGGGGATCAAATCCAGGGCTTTGTCTATGCTAGGCAAGCACTGTACCAACTAAATCACACCCCCAGTCCAAGACCTTATTTTAAAGAAAAAAAGAAAAGCATGTTGCCATCTTCTAATTTGTATTACAATTTAACCTATAAGATTAGAATCAATTATAGATGTTTTTACAGATTATTTACAAAAGTGAAAAATTAGAAATGACATAATATGGAGCTCAGGAGATGGTTTAGTGGAAAAAAAGCTCTCGTTCTGCAATCATGAGGACCTGAGTTCAAATCCCCAGCATCCACGTAGAAAGCTGAGTATGGCTGTGTATGCCTGCAATCCCAACATTGAAGGACAGCAAGACAGACAGATCCTAAAAGCTTGCTAGATAGCCAGCCTAGCTGAAAAGGCAAGTTTCTGATTCAGTGACCCTGTCTCAAGGCAAGAAAACAGAGCAATAGCGCAAAGTAACTGACTCCCCGCTGTGGCTTTCACATGCACGGACATGATTGTGCAAATGCATTCCTATGTATGCAACAAACACACTCCATTTGTACACACAACCTGATGGTTGTTAATAGATTGTTTAAGTAAATTATAAAGTATCATGTAATGAAGCATTAAATAGAAAGTAATAAAGCGTGTCTCTCCCTCCCTCCCTCCCTCCCTCCCTCCCTCCCTCTCTCTCTCTCTGTCTCTCTCTCTCTCTCTGTGTGTGTGTGTGTGTGTGTGTGTGTGTGTGTGTGTGTGTGTGTGTGTGTGTGAAGAATGATGCCCATGGGGGTGGGAGAGTGAGGAACGGAGCTGAGTTGGTAGAGTGCGTGCCTTGAATGCATGAAGCCCTAGGTTCAATCCCCAGTGGGGCATAAACCCAGAGAAGTGGTACCCAAGAGATAGAAGTAAGAGGATCAGGAGTTCAAGGTCATCCTCATGTGTTCAATAAGTTCAGAGCTAGCCTGGGCTACATGAGACACTGCTGTCTTAAAGGGGAAGGGTGGGCATGATCTATATACAGGGCTATCTAACATTTTAACACCACAATAGGACACTGTCATCAACAAACACATTGGGTCACAGTCATAGATGTCCTGGGTGGCATGTGGATCCATGTGGGTCTGGGGCCACTCATCGGCTGGACACCCTGACTGGAGTTTGACTTAAAACAGAGCCAGTTTATATCACATATAGAAAGGTGCCATTGTAGTTTTCTGGAAACAGAATGGTTCATGGATACATAATTGTAGCTAGAGAGAGGAGGGAAAGATTTTTTATTGTTGTTGGGTTTTAAGACATGGTCTAACAATGTAGTGCTGGCTGGCCTAGAACTCACTATGGAGACCCAGTTGGCTTTGAATTCACAGACACCTGCCCGCCTCTACCCACTGAATACTAGTATTAAAGGCATGTGCCACCATTCCTGGCTGTTCATTTCTTTTTCTCTTCATTGTTCATTAGCAGGTAGGAGGAAAAAGACTTTTTGAGGAACGTGCATGTGTACTATAAAGTCTGCAAAGTTGTTAGTACTCTTTCTTGGGGGAGCAGAAGTATGAGAGCCATTTTCAGTATGTCTATGCTGTTAAAATGATTACTCAAAAATGATTTCACGAGGCTGGAGAGATGGCTCAACAGTTAAGAGCACTTGCAGAGGACTGGAGTTCGATTCCCAGCACCTACATGATAGCACACATCTGGCTGTAACTCCAGTTCCAGAGGCTCCAGCTCCCTCTTTTGGCCTCCCCAGGCTGTGCATGCATGCGGTACACATACACACTTACAGGAAAACACTCATACACATACAATTAAATTAAATTAAAAAAAAATTAGCTCATGCATCTGACAAAATGGCTAGGTGGGTAAAGGCATTTGCCTCTAAGTCTGATGAAAAGTTAGATCCCTAGACCCCACGTGGTGGAAGAAGAGAACTCACTTCCCAAAGTTGTCCTCTGACCTAAACATATATGCCCACATACACATGTGTGCAAACACACATACACTCACACAGGCCACCACATGCATGCACCTAACACCCACCCTACACTAATAAAATCACTTCTTAATGGGGGAGAAAAATGATTCAGCTTTGAAAAACAACACCTCAGTTGTTTGGTTTGGCCTTTTGAAAGTGGTTCTGGAAGGCCCCAAAACTTACATTTCCCAGAGACAGGGTCTCACAATGAGTACGCCCAAGTTTGGCAACACTCCTTTGAGAAGCCCACACTTATGCTTGGGTATGTTGCTTTCGTGCGTGCGTGTGTGTGTGTGTGTGTGTGTGTGTGTGTGTGTGTGTGTGTGTGTATGTGTGTGTGTGAATGTAGTCCATACTAACCTGGATCTTGTGGCTAACTTCCTGCCTCAGCCTTGCAGGTGCTGGGAGGGCAGGTGTGAGCCGCCATTCCCAGGTCACACTCTCTGAAGATGACTCTGGATGTGGAGTTGCAGCACTAGAGAAGCTTCCCTGGATGCTCCTCATCTACCAACCAGGACGTTAGAGGAGCCTTGCTCCCTGCCGCCCTTTGTATTCAGCCGTCACGAGGACAGACAGACACACTGCCTCTCGTCCTGGGGTTGGAGTGAAGTAGTGTCTAGGACGAAAGCCTCTCCGCATCCCCCTTTCCTCCTTGTTTGCTGGAGTTTGAACGCAGGGGCTTGTGCATGCCAGGCAGGCACTCTACCCCTACACCTCCCGACTCCTCCACCGCCTCCTCCCCTTCCTGAGTGTGGGTCTGTATGTGGTTTGGTAACCTCCATTTTCTTTTTAAACTTTCGAGTCATTCCCAGGCTTCCCAAAACACAGATGCTCTATTTCCTTATCATCAAACAGTGTGAGTGATGTTCAACAATAGACGTTTAGTCCCCTAGGCTTTGTCTGTAGCTGTTAAAAAAAAAAAAAATAGATGAGACTGTCCCTAGATGACCTGCAAGGTCCAAGCTTTCATTGGTCACATGGGTCCTGAAGGCGTGGTTCCTATTGAGGACCATCCTGTCCTCACATCACATAGGTCCCCAGCTCCTCCTCCCCAACCATCCATCCAGACCTCGGAGCTCAGGTTGCAGACTCACTTTTCAGGCTCCCTGGTACTAATTAAGGAGCTGCAGGAGAGGCTGCCAACCCGCTGTGCAGCATAACAATTAGGTCTGAGGGGGGTGGGGTGGGGGGCTTGTTCTGGCTAAACCAGCTCCCCCGAGCCGTTTTCACAGGCTACCTTACTGTCTGTCCATTGTTTCTAAAACATCTGCCAGGAGAGAGAAAGAAGAATGCTTGGCTCTGTGGCCCTCTCCGGAACCTACCTGTGCACCTGGCAGGGAGCACCCAGCCCATCAGCCCGTGCGGCCACCAGTGTCAACGCCACCACCCCGGGGCAGGAGCTTACCACACACAGTGCAGGTACGGGAAGTGGACGGAGGAGAGCAGCTCACAGAAGGCTCGGTCACTGATCCAGCAGAAGAGGGCGAGGGTCCACCAGAGGCCGGAGAAGAGCCCCAGCTTAAACACACGGACATTGTCACACCTGCAAGGCAGAAGGAGAGAGTGTCAGCTCTCGTCTCCATAGGGCTTGCTGGCTACCTCTCCTCTATCTCCAAAACTTCTCATCCGTCCACCCCAGCTCTTGAGATGCGTGTCCTACCGAACACAACCACACAGATGTAAGTATCCATATATACACACGTGACTTACATAACCTTACTTCCTACACAGTCCTGGCCCCTAACTCCAGATACATAGAACTACCTACCATCTTGAAAGGGTACCCTGATGTCTAATACAGACACAAAAACAGAGTTCAACTAGTCTTTCCTCCTGCTCACAGATCCCACATCCGGTTTCTTAGCTCTTCCTTCAGAATCCACCCCAAATCTGCCCTCTGGCCATGTGGGTCCAGGCCCCCATCATCTCTTCCTCTCTAACCTACACTCACCTTTGTCCTTGTAGTCAACTGGCAATGTTCTGCTCCAGGGCTTCAATGAGAGGGAGAGCCACAGCATTCACAGTGGCCACAGGGCCGCAAGTGTGGGCTCCCCTTCCTTCCTTCCTGATTTCTCTCTATGCTTTGGTCCCCACTCACTCCCTTTGCTCAAACTATGCTGTCCCTCAAACACTTCAGGCCTTAGCAGGAATGGGCCCTCCAGCCTTCCTACTGGCTTTGCCTCTGCCTGGGGTACTCTTCCCTCACATAGCCATGTGGTTCATCTGTCTTCAGGTGTGTCCGCTGGACATCACTCATGTGTGGTTAGAATGAGACCTTCTCACGGAATGAATACTTGGCCCCCAGTTGGTGGCGCTGTTTGGGAAGTTTAGGTGTGGCCTCGACGGAGGAGGTGTGTCACTGGAGGAGGGCTTTGAGGCTTTAAAAACTGAGCTCTCAGCTTGCCCCCATGCTTCCCGCCATGATAGTGATGGACTCTTGTGCCTCTGAACTGTAAGTCCCGAGAACCCTCCCTTCTGTAAGTTGCCTTGGCTCTCCACACCCTGCAGCTGAAGACAACACACACTCAACTCCTTGAACACAGGAACTTCAAGCTGGTGCCTACCTAGAGCCTTCACCCTATGGACAAGCATTCATGGTACTGGAAGGTAGTCTGCGTGCTACTAGAGGAGAGGGATGAACACCCAACAGTTACAAACCCTTCGATCTACAAGAGTGACTTGCCTGCCTGCAGGGTATGCTGGTGCCATAGTGGTGCAAAGCTTGCACGTGCTCGAAACCGCGGAGCCATCTCTCCAGCCCCCGGGAAAAGTTGTTTTCTAACGTATTTTCAACAGGAGAATCTCCTAGCAACGTGATTTAAACATCCCAGAGTTCAGCGACATCAGGTCATGACCCTGAATCAGAATAAGCTTTCGTTTTCTCCTGGTGAAAGAAGGTTCAGAAGGGGCACTGAACCGCTGCAAGCCAGACATGCTTCAGGAAGGAAGGCCAGAGAGAAGCAAAGCGATAAAAGGCAGTCTTTCCTCTTGGTCCCCTAGGCAAAGCAAGGCACAATGAGACACACTGGGGCGGACGTGATATGTCACGTGAGAACAGGGGAGATGCTGGAAGGAAGTGTGAAGAGTGCCAAGGGCACCCTTTTTTCTGGGAACCTTATCAATGCAGGGGAACTTTCCTTTCCCTTTCCTCCTGGAGACTTGGGTGGTAACTGAGTCACAGCAGGGAACAAAAAGACCTGAGCCCTGCCCATGCAGTGTCCCTCTGTCCCTCTGTGTCAAGCAGAAGTTAAACAAAACAGTAACACAAGTTACTTTCTAATCGTACAGGACGGCCATCCAAGGACACATAAACAGCCAAGCCCCGAACTAAAGGGCCAGCAGCCGTTAGCCACAGCTAGAGGGACCTGGACTCAAATGAAGACATAGAAGTTAAAGAGAACAGAGAGAAGGGGAAGCTTGGGGGGGGGGGGGGGTTGGCCGTGGGAGGGGGCGATGCTCAACTTACAGGGACAGCAGAGATGTGTGTGAAAGACTCTGCATTTTATCAATATTGCCATGCGAAGGAGTAGAACAATGACCAGGACCAGAGGAAGACAGCTTCTGACTTGCACATCTGGACACAGTACTCCTCTCCTATTTAGCACAACTGGAAACACTACAGAGAAGACTAGGGATGGGAAAGGCAGGTAAGGAGCCCAGCTTTGTCAACTTGAACTCTCCATACCTGTGACTCCTGCGATTACAGAAGTCAGGTAAGCAGCTAAGTAGATTAACAACAAACAAACAAACAAACAAACCTAAAGATAAGGAAAGGCAGCATAAACCCAGTGTGGTGGTACATGCCTTTAATCCCAGGAGGCCGAGGCAGGCAGATCTCTGAGTTCAAGGCAACCCTGGTCTACACAGTGAGTTCCAGGACAGCCAGGGCTACACAGAAAGACACTGTCTCAAAACAAAAACAAACACAAACAAAAAACCCAGCTAAATCTAGAACATTCTATTCACTTCAGGCTGAATAGAAGTCAGCACCACTGGACTGAATGCTCCAAATATAATCTATTTTAGATGACTTCACCAGCAATTTAGTTATGTGTCTTCCACAAATCTTTAATACCTGATAGTATCCAGGGTTGGATAAGTGAAGATTGTGGAAGCCCAGCTCCCATATTTTACGACAGGGTACTCTTGAGGAGTGAGGCTTAAGAGATATTAGATAGGATCGAGGGGAGAGAAACAGAAACACAGCATAGCCTCAGAAGGGCCTAGATCATTATCTACTGGCCCCTGCTGTCTCTTCTAAAGGGCCTTTTATAGGAATGCCAAAGGGTGGAACAAAAGACCTCCCCCTAACACAGCCAAGTGCAGATCCTTTCCAATTACCTGGTAACTACACATGTGGTCAAGCAATCCTCTAATGCAGCCCTGCTGGGTAAAGCAAGCTCAGATCTCACTAGGAAACCTTTGTGAGCCTCCACAGAAGATGCAAGCAGGCCCCAAGCCTAGGGGCGCCAGATCCTCAGGCCACAAATAATGAGAAAAGGTAGTTCAGTAGGCATCTCCAGCCAAGAACACAGGCAAGATCCCTTGATAGGAAAGGAAGAGTCCACACAAGAGAAGCTAAAACGGAAGGAGGTATTTGTCTCTCTTCACATTGATTGGGGTACTTGTTGAAACTTAAGGACAGGAAAAGGAAGGTAGCTAGTGCTGTGGGATGGTCTGTATGGCAAGTGTGTTGCTGATTGGTCAATAAATAAAACACTGATTGGCCAGTGGCCAGGCAGGAAGTGTAGGCGGGACAAGGAGGAGAATAAAGCTGGGAAGTGGAAGGCTGAGTCAGAGACACTGCCAGCCGCCATGATGAGAAACAGCATGTGAAGATGCCGGTAAGCCACGAGCCACGTGGCAAGGTATAGATTTATAGAAATGGATTAATTTAAGCTGTAAGAACAGTTAGCAAGAAGCCTGCCACGGCCATACAGTTTGTAACCAATATAAGTCTCTGTGTTTACTTGGTTGGGTCTGAGCGGCTGTGGGACTGGCGGGTGAGAGAGATTTGTCCTGACTGTGGGCCAGGCAGGAAAACTCTAGCTACAAGCTAGTCTGCTGGTTTGAATGAGCAATGTCCCCATAGGCTCAGGCATTTGAACCCTTAGTCCCCAGTTGGTGGTGCTGTTGGGGAGGTTGAGAAGGTGGGGCCTTGCTAGAGAAAATCCACTGCCTGGGGTGAGCTGTGAGAGTGTATAGTATAGCCGCTCCCTGCTTTCAGTTTCCCCTCTCCACTCCACATTTGCTGTAAAAGATGTGGTGGCCTCTCTGCTTCCTGGCTCCTATTGGCATGCTACCCTACCATGATGGACTCATCCCTCTAGAATTGCAAGTCCAAATAAACTCATTCTTCTAGAAGCTGCTGTGGTAATGATGTTTTATCAGAGCAACAGAAAACTAAATAATACAACTAGTAGTCCTTTTGTGCCTGGTGGGCCTAGAACTTACTATGCAGATCAGGCAGGCCTCAATCGCACAGAGATCTGCCTGCCTCTACCCAGAGGCTACCTCCAAGTGGTAGGATTAAAGGCAAGCATTACTATATACAGCCACAACTAGTATTTCTTGAATATCCACCACCGGAGAGATTCTACACTAGATACAACTTATTTATGCTCACTACAAGATCAAAAGAAATAAGCTTTGTTAGCTTGTTTCCTTGTGGGTTGAGGCAAGTTCTCTCTGAATTTCAGTTTTCCTGCCTTAGTTTCCTAAGTGCTGCCAGAGCCTCCAGCTTTGTCTAGTCGTTGAAGATTTATTAATTTTTATGTGCATTGATGTTTTGCCTGCGCGAGAGTGCCAAATCCTCTGGAACTAGAGTTGCAGACAGTTGTGAGCTGCCATGTGGCGGCTGGGAATCGAACCCAGGTCCTCTGGAAGAGCAGCCAGTGCTCTTCACCAGCTCTCTACCCCTCCAGCCCCCTATTTATTTTTTTAAATAGACCTAAACCTTATTATGAAAGACCTAAGGAAGTGAAGAAAATGCCCTGAATTTCTGAGCTACTGGAAGGCAAAGCCAAGCCGCAAACCTGGAGTTGTGTAGCCCCTGAACCCAAGTTTCTTCTAGCAATCACATGACTCTAGAATGAAAACAGAACTACCTAGCAAACAACCGGGGAACAGAGACTTTAGAATTTTCAGGGGTAACAGGCACCTTGGAAAATTCACAGGTAGGTATAATTTCTGCCTTTGAGTAATATACCGGAAAGAAAGAAAGAAGAAAATTATCCACATTCACGGGAGCACACATTAAACCCAATGTAAAGGCACAGAGTTTAGGAAGGAAGACACAGAGCTCACTGAGGAAGAGGAAGGGGTTAGCAAAGCCCTCGAGATGGAGCTGACATCCACGAAGCAGCTGTAGGCGGGTTGGGCCCCTGCAAAGCTGTGGTGGGGCAGGGCCGTCGACTGGGAGGACGAAGTATAAGCAAGCATGAGCTGAAGAGGGAAAAAAAAGTAAGGTGTCTGTCCAGACTGACTGGTCATCAGGCACACAGAAGGAAGCAAGGTCAGAGAAAGCGGGACAGTAAGGAGCCA